ACTCTATTATAATACCTGCTCAGTTTCTTGCCAAGTATAATACCGATTAAGTTGGCTGGTCATTCGTAAACTTACATGTGCCTAGTTGGATTAAGGATCACCATCACCACCTTCGTGAAATTGCTTGAAATAAAAAATAGCGTAGAGTAATTCTTTTTTTTTTTTTTTAAATGTAGCTTAAGGATATTTATATAAATACGTCTCATATTTTAGGTTTATTAAATAGAATTTTGGACATAAATTATACACTATAACATTTTTAAGTATATGTCAAATTAATAACCTGGACAGGTTAATGTTCAATTTTTCACTTTTAAAGAATATCAACACATCTAATTTAATGATAAAAACTAAACAAGCAGCAGACAGAGTTAGAGGAATTGCATGAAAAGAAAATTTAAACAGATCAAGAAAAGTCAAATTTACGTTTAAAAGAACACGATTATTGAAGGTTAACCTAAACCCTATTTAGATTCTTAAAGAGTTAATTTTACTGGTTTGAATTATAATTTAAATTTTTATTATAATATTTTTTTATAAAAATTTAAATTTAATTTTTTATTACAATGTTATCGAACTAGTAAAACGTAATAGACTTCTAATGTATCTCATGTTCTACGAAAAAGACAAATTGAAAAAAAAAAAAAGAAAAGGAAGACACCTCTTATGTCCCACCATAACAACTCTAAATCCACAATCGTATAAAGAGTACAGCTCATAATTATTACCAGAAACGTCAGCCATAAAAAAGCAGAAAATAAACTACTTCCCCCCTTTTTGTAAGGTTGATAAAATAACCAACTCTTTAATATTTTGTTCATTTTATTAATTTTAATTTTTAATTTTAATTTTATTATAATTAATTTTTTTTTATAAAAAGTCATATTTAATTTTTCTTATTATAATAAAAAAATTTCATATAAAATTACATCTTAATTTAAATTAAAAATTTAAATTAACGCACTAAACGAGATCTAAGAGTGTAAGTTGTATGAATTAAACAATGATTTACGATATTTAAGCCGAAACAGAAGAATAAGGTTAGAAATGGACGAATCAAATTAAGCTCTGGAGCGGATAGTTTGAATAGGAAAAACTTACGTGAATCGTCAGAGTCAAATCAAGATTAAGGTGATGTTTGGTATAGGGATTCGTTCCCTGAGTCGAATCATGGTTCGTGATTCGCTATAGTATTTTCTCTCACAAAAAATATACGTAAATAAAAAATGATTCTAATCACATGGTTCTAATCCATGAACCAAACGCCCCATAAAAGAGAATGGACTAAGTCGAATGACCCAAAAAAAAAATTTTAAGATCAACGGTCAAGATAGAGTTAGAAAAAAAAATCATGCTTGAATCTCTCCCTATAAATAGAGGATTAGACAAAGAAGAATGAAACTTTTTTCATTTTCAGACACCCCGACACTCTTTACACTATGTTTGGTATGAATGAAAAGTGGAAGGAAAGAAAATGTTGGAGGGATTTTAGGATGGAAATTGGTAAATTAACTTGTTTGGTAGAAAGGAAATTGGGAAGGAAAAGAAAATTGAAAGGAAATTGTAATTGGTAGGTCCCACCATATTTAATCCCTCTAAAAGTGGGGGATTTTAGAAAGGAAAATGTGGATAACTACCTAAATTACTAAATTGTCCTCATTTTGGCTCCAAAAGTTGGTGCTATTTTTTTTAAAGAAGAGATAAATGGGCAATGGGCTTTCTCTCTCCACTCAGCACACCTTTCACAGGAAAAAATTTCATTCCATTGCTGAAGATTGAAGGTAGTTTTATTATTGTTCATGATTGAAGGTACATGGTCTAAACTTCAATTTTAAAATTAGCTTTGTGAATGAATCTCTCACTGCCTTGCTTCTTCTGGTTTCGTTCTCTCTCTCTCTCTCTCTCTCTTTTTTTTTTTTTTTATAATTTGCTCGTCCATATATATGTATATATTTTTTGCTTGTCTAATATCAACGTTGTATGTTATTTTAGAAGTTCTAGTGATTTTTTTAGGGATTGAATTAGCTAAATGGTAATTTGGGAAGCTCTCTAATGGATTCTAATGCTATGGGTTTTTGAATTGAATGTGAATAAATTTTATTTATTGCAAAGTCTCTCCCTACTTTCTTTTTCCCTAAATTATTGTCATGATGTATTTATTCTAATTTAGATTTATAGTAGTTGCCTATGTTCAATGGATATGCTTTTCATGATGTTTGTTTTTTAGATTTTTTTTTTTATTTTCTTAACATTTATTTTTTTTAAAGATTTATTGCATTAGTATCCTATATATAATTTTGATTAGAACCATTTCTAAAATTTCTAAGTAGATGAGAAATTCTAATTGGAGTTTCAAGGAAGGTCAAGAGGATAATGTTTTGGAGTGTAATCAACTAGACATTCATGAATAAGCTGTTACAAGACCTTTTAGAAGTTGGGAAAGATGTAGAAGTAGGGTTGGTGTACAAGTTGTTTGCTATGTGATACAGATGGTGTATATAATGCAATTACACTATTGCTCAGATTACGTTGATAGGAGCATTGTCAACATAAGTAGAGAACATGATAGTGTGAGAAGGGAACTCATGACTCAACTTAGCGTAAATGAAAAATGTCGGGACGTAAATCGAATGGGGCCTCGAGCATTTGCTAGGTTGTGTGGATTGTTTCGAGACATTGGTCGTCTGAAGGATAATAAAAATTATGTGGTAGAGGAACAAGTAGCCAAGTTTCTATATATATTAGCGCATAATGCTAAAAACCGAACTATTTCTTTCTTCTTCCGCCGATCTAATGAAACAATAAGTCAACATTTTCATGAGGTACTACAGGCAATAATTAGTTTAGAAGATCAATTCTTAGTTCAGCCAAATGGAGCAGAGGTTTCTCAACAAATAGTTGATAGTCACAGGTTCTATCCATATTTTGAGGTAAACAAAAACTTAATCGTTTTAAGTTTTATTTCTGATTCTTGTTGAAAATAAATAGTAACTTGAGTTTAATGTTTAGAATTGTGTAGGAGCCATTGATGGGACACATATTCGAGTAAATGTACCTAGGAAAGACGCACCACGATATCGTGGAAGGAAAGATTATCCAACACAAAATGTTATGGCAGCTTATGGATTTGATATGAGGTTTACATACGTATTACCAAGGTGGGAAGGAAGTGCATCCAACTCAAGAATTATAGCCCCGTTCACTTCACCGATTTGAGTTTAGAATTTGAGTTTTGTTACAGTAAAAAGTTCTCAAAAACAGTCACATCTAACTTTTTTTCTACAGTAAAAAACTCTCACATAAAATCACATCTCAACTCGAATTACAAACTCGAATCAGCGAAGTGAACGGAAAAAATGCTTTGTCCAGGGAAGATAAACTTATAATTCCTAGAGGTAATAATGAGTTTTATTTAGTTATTGAAATTATTTATCCACAAAACACTAAGACAAAATTTTATTAATTTTAATTTTATTATAATTAAAATTTTTTATAAAAAGTCATATTTAATTTTTTTTATTATAATAAAAAATTTTCATATAAAATCACATCTTAATTTAAATTAAAAATTCAAATTAACGCACTAAACGAGATCTAAGAGTGTAAGTTGTATGAATTAAACAATGATTTACGATATTTAAGCCGAAACAGAAGAATAAGGCATCGTTCACTTCGCGGATTCGAGTTTTCAATTCGAGTTAAGATGTGACATTTTCAGAGAGCTTTTCACTGTAGCAGAAAAAGTTAGATGTGACATTTTCTGAGAGCTTTTTACTGTAGAAACTTAAAACTGAAAACTCAAATCAGTGAAATGAACGAGGCTTAAGGTTAGAAATGGACGAATCAAATTAAGCTCTGGAGCGGATAGTTTGAATAGGAAAAACTTATGTGAATCGTCAGAGTCAAATCAAGATTAAAAGAGAATGGACTAAGTCAAATGACCCAGAAAAAAAAAATTTAAAGATCAACGGTCAAGATAGAGTTAGAAAAAAAATTCCTGCTTGAATCTCTCCCTATAAATAGAGGATTAGACAAAGAAGAATGAAACTTTTTTCATTTTCAGACACCCCGACACTCTTTAGAGAGACTCAAGACTGTGTGAAAACTCGAATCGGTGAAATGCACGAGGTAATATATTTCATTTAGAGCTTTGAGTCTTAGTTGATTGGGGCTAGATAAGAAAATCGCTGTAATAACATCTCATTTTTTCTTAACTCGTTTGAGGAACATAATTAATGACAATGAGTTTCGTTTGCCAGAAGTTTACAGCAAACTCTAGTCGTACCCATATTTGCTAAGAAAGTATGAGTGCGCTATTTGAAATGAAATTAAGCATAGGTGCATGCGATCTGTTAAGTACTCCCATACATGCATGCGTAACCAAAGACAACATGACTGTCTTATGATCCTGCAAATCCTATTACCCTAGATTATATTTCTATTAATTTGGTTCCTATTCTCGTCTCTATATATTACTTCATGCTAATTCCCCTATATGTTGGGATATGCGCATGATCAATCAAAACACTTGCACACTTGATTAAAAAAAAAAAAAAAAAAAACCTTTCACACTTGCGTGTTTACTATTTAGTCCGTTGAATTGACAAAATAAATAAACAAATGGGGAATGTTAGGAAACTCATGTTTCTTATATAAAGTTTGGGACGCATATTATTATAACAATTATATTATGCTATTTAATTATAATGGATCTAAAGTAATTTAATTAAGAAAAGTCTATAAGACTTTTAATTGGACATGAGTTTAATAAGTGGATATTTAATATTGATCTAATTAGATTTAATAGGATTTTACTAGAACATTATATAAGGACATATAGGTTATGATTCTTAATACGTTAAATCATTCAGATACTTTCTCTTCTATCTCATCTAGAAGGAAACACCCCGTTAAAGAACTTTGGTGATTTGAATGAGAAAGACAATAACTCGTGCGCTAATCATCATAGTAGTTCTGTAAAATTGTTGATTGTCACTATTATGGATTTATGTACGCTTTTCTCGATGTTAAGTTTGCTGGCTTCTCTAGCAGTTGCTCCCGGTACATCTGCATTGCAGAATATGGCGAAATCAAGAACTGTTTTCCGAGCTATTCCCTCACGTTACACTAGAGAGGTAAGTGAAGAGTTTTCAACACTTGCTTTAGTGGCAGAGCACTTAAGTCAATCAAGTCAGAAATCAGATTCTACGGATGTCGCCTCATCTTTAGATGGAGAAAACCAGTCATTGGAATCTCAATCTGATGTGAAAGAAGTTAAACAAGAGGAGAAAGATCTTATATACATGAAACTCAAAGCATTGGCTCTTAAAGATCATATTAGCAATGAACATAAGGCTGATGCAGATGATACTGTTATATCAAACGGTATGCCGATCAAGGAAAACGATTGTCCAAAGGAACTCGTGATAGGTGTTGTAACAAATCCGTCTGTGATCAATGATATTTCCTTGAAGGAAAAAGGATATCAAGGAGAACTGTTGGGTGTAGAAGATAATTGTGAACAGACTCCTAGTGCATCATCTGAGTATCAGTCCCTTATAACTCGGGTAGATTTTTATCTCGATATTTCGCACTTCCTATATAGACAGGCTCGTGTACATTTGGTTTTAGTACAAACATTCTGATATTCTCATGTATTTCTGCAGTTAATTCAAGAGGTGGAAGAGCTAAAGACTTTTAAAACAGAACATACTCATAAAGTGGGCCTTTTTGAACAGAAGCTGGTACGTGATGCAATTTCTTTATCCCTGATTTGTTCTTTCTGGTGATTGTTCTTTTCCTTATGTCTTTTTTCCCCTAAATAAATAAAATTGTTGCCTGCCTTAAGGTGTATTAAATCATCCATTGCCGATAATGACCGAATTTATTTTGATCAACATGCTGAACAAAATCATTATTTTTTTTAAGTACAAATAAAGCTAAAATCTATGCGATGATATCGAAAGCTGCTGCTTCAATTAAGTTTGAAAATTTTATTTTTTTATTTTTGGACCTTACTATCGGCATTTTCCTGGAGGGATGTGTATGTTCACATGTCTCTGCTAGATACATTCATTTTATTTGCTCTTTGTTGCTGATATTTCCTGTAGAATTGCTCTTGTTGTTAAACAAAATCCTCAATTTATAGTAATTGGGTTAAACAATTGGTCCTTATAATGTCAAGATAATAATTCAATTTATATGAGTTACAACTAACCTATGGCTTATACTATATCTTCACTCTTGAAGAAAAAATATAAATTGTTCTTATTTTACTTTGCTTAGACCAGATAATCATTCAACTAATTTATGTTGCAAAACTTAAAGTTCTTTGTAAACTGTGACTATTTACTAGCATAATTCACATTAGAGAGTTACATGGATAGCCATATCTGCATGCGTAGAAGGACAGTGGAACCGCAAGACTATCAATATTTGGTACTAGGAGTTGAAGTAATGTGGCTTTCTGTTTTCTCTACCACAATGGTTGGTCCAAAATATTACGAGCAGGGTGGTGATATAATATCAAAATTGATGGAGTTCCGTCCTCTAATCCTAAAAATATCAACGGCATGTGGACCGTAGTTGGAAAGAGGAGGAAGTGAAAAATAAAATGTCTTTCAGGACAATCAAATATGTTATCATTTGTTTTATCTTGTTCTTGATCTGCATATTCCTTTCCTACAATTCATTTGGTTTATACAATTGGTTCAACACTTACCTCTGGTTTTATTGCTTTTATTATTCCAGAGATTTACACTTGCTGCAGTAGAACTCAATGGTGTGATTTATGCTACTGGCGGATTTGATGGGAATGATTATTTGAAGTAAGATGTTGCATTTCATACAGAAACAAACGTGTTTAGTGTGTGTGGTTCAGCAATCCATATGAATGTGATGCAAATACAAAGTACTGTTACTGTAACTATAGTGATGTCTTTTCACATGAACATATTACATACACAAACACTCGACCTTGGCGTATAAACATGTACACATGTTTGTTTGGAAAAGCAGGCTCACGATTGGTGTGCAATCTTGCATCTGATGCACAAAGCGTTTTAGGCATCCATCATGTTTAAAGGAAATTTGGGGCCATGTTATAATTTGTAGGACACTTCTTTCTATAGGCGATTTCACCTTGGAACTCTCTAGACACCTGTGTATGCGAATGTCCAACACTTGTTTTTGCACAAAATCTAGATGGAAAAATTGAATTAATTTCTAGATGGATATCTTTCCTAATAATGTATACATGTGTGAAAAAAAAAAAAAAATTTGAACCAGAAAAGAAAAGATAATCTGCATTTTCTTTTCCCTCTCTTTCGATATAAACAAATGCTACATCTAGAATATTGTGGATATTTTCTGTAACATTGCTGTACAAGTAGTTGAATGAGTATTTTCTACTATTTCAGGTCTGCTGAAAGGTTTGACCCAAGAGAGCATTTCTGGACAAAAATTTCTGCTATAAATACAAGGAGGGGTTGCCATTCATTGGTTGTTTTGAACGAAAAATTGTGAGATCATGCTTCTCTTTGTTTCAATCAGCATTTTCAAGGTCTATTCATTACCTTATAACATTGGTGTAAGAGATTGTGCGGCAATTTATATCTGACATATCAATTTGTGTATAGCGCATCAACTTAATAACACTTACTTTTAGTTTTAACTTTCAATAAAAAGCTCTGAGGGAAACAATTTCAAAAGGTGGACATTTAACATGAAGCGATATTTACAAACAAGTATGTAGAGCCTCGTTATGCTTCTACCAAGTGCCCAAATAACTTCCAAATATGTGTTTTTTTTTTTTTAGTTTCTTTCTTGTTATAACTTATAATGTAAGAGTAAGGCCTCGGTTCACTTCGCGGATTCGAATTTTCAATTAGAATTAAGATATGGTATTTTTTGAAAGCTTTTTACTGCAGCAGACAAAGTTAGATGTGATATTTTCTTAGAGTTTTTTACTGTATAAATTTAAAATTGAAAACTCAAATCGGTGAAATGAACGAGGCCTAAGTTTGAACAGATTTTTATTATGATTCATTTTGCTGTTTCTTGCTTTAAGACCGGTAATGAAAAGTATGTGGCTTCAGATACAAGTTCCATTTCTCATGATCGAGTTTTGAGTTTTGTCTGATAGATGTATGACTCTACGGACTTCCAACTTTTGCAGGTATGCTCTTGGCGGTTACGATGGAAATACAATGGTTACAAGTGTAGAAATTTTCGATCCACGAATTGGATCATGGATGCCTGGGGAATCTTTGAACTACTCTAGAGGGTATTCAGTTGCTGCTGTTGTTGTCAATGACACTGTCTACGTGATTGGAGGAGTGAAAGATGGTAAGTAACGTGTTGAAGCTCTTTTCCTTATATAGAGAAGCTATATAATGTCATATTCAAAGAAGCAGGGTTTTAATCTCCTGGAACGCGACAGGTTGAAAGCTACAAAGAAGGACAGGGTTGGCAAGAAACTGAAGGAAATGCGATTGGGAAAAGGTGTTTCCTTACGGCCATTGCTCTAACGCCACCTAGTGTTTGATACTGTTGTAAGTGTACAGAAGCAGTTAATATCTTGGTCTATGGAAAAGAAACTTTTTGTCCCCGCCATTTTTATGGGGGGTAAAAATGAAAGAACAAAGAAATGTAAAGTAAAAGAAATATACGGTATTTGTTCCGCTATTGATCAGGAAACGCCATTGAATAAAAATCATTAGTGGTCGGTTAGGTTTTTTTTTTTCTTTTTTTTTTTTAAATGAAAGTGATCGGTTAGTTTGGGTAAAATTAATTTGTTTCTTTGAATTGGTTGAGCGGTCTTGAATCTATATTCTAATATGCTAACATAACTTTTTTTTGTCACTTTATATCTTCATTGTTTGACACATATGGTGTGTTTGGAATTCGTTTTAAAATGATTTTATTTTTTGTATGAAAATAAAAATGAAAACGTTTTCAATTTCAGATTGAAATTATTTTTCAAAATATGTTTGGTAGTTTTATCAAGAGATTGTTTTCAGTATAAAAAAACTCATTAATGTCTCTCTCTGCTCGAGAGAGGAGAAAATGAAAACAAAAAATGAAAAATGACTAAAAAATCATTTTTCATTTATCTTCTATTTTATACTAAACTAAAAAATTATTTTCATTTCCGTTTTTTATCTTTAATTGTGCTAAACGCCGTTTTAAAATCGTTTTTATTTTTTTCCTGAAAAACGTGAAAAAAAGAACAATTCTAAACACGACAATAGACTCCACTAACATGTTATATTATTATTTAAATAAAAATTAAAATATGAGAGTTTATGTGTCAAATAATAAATGTGAATGGTGATAAAAAGAGTGACTGAAAGAGTGATTCTCACTCCAATACATTCGCCTCCCAGGGTACTAAAGCATTTAAAGAAGATTGGCCTTTTAAGTAACAAAACGGATACTTTTGTTTAGAGTAATTATATATGCATCCATTAAATTCATTAATGCTCCTACTAATTCATAATATATTGCTATTACAATTTTTCCCTGCATTAAAATTACACTAAAATTTAGTAACATACCCCACCTTAATTATAAATGGACATAATTATTTAAAAATAAAAAATAAAAAAAATACACGCAAATTAACTATAATTAAAAAGTATTTTTTAAAGAAATAAAAAACACACCCCACCTTTTGGTTTATAGTAAGCCAAAATCAATCTAAAAAAGAAACGAAGAGTAAGTATTTATTAATTTTGTTTATTAGCAATATAATTAGCCAACCATAGAGTTGTTTTTTGTGTTTTCTTGTTAAAAGAAGGATGAGAAAGAGGAGGTAAGACAATGTAAAGAGAATTGTATTAATATTTAAAAAGAAAATATAATATTAATAGTTGAAAGAGATTATATTATTTTACAATTTAAATCAAGATTAAAATTAGATAAAGTATGAAAGGATTAAATTAGGTATTATAAAAATTATAAATAATCTAAAGGAGAGCTCGGGGGTACTGTTCACGCATACCCATTTTGCTATTCTTTCTACAGTGAAGTGACGATTTTACCCTTTTCTCCTTCATTTTCCTTCACTCTTTTAGGGGTTGTTTCGTCTATTTGCCACTTGCGCGCTGCTTTTGCGGTTTTGCCCCTGCTCTTCTTTCCTTCTTTAGTCTCTTGCCCTGGTGTGTTTGGTCTTTTCCCGGTTGGTGTAGCCCTAAGTGTTCTTTCCTTTCTCGATCGTCTCTCTCTTGCCCTTCTTCGGTCTCTTGCCCTGGTGTGTTTGGTCTTTTCCCGGTTAGTGTAGCCCTAAGTGTTCTTTCCTCTCTCGATCGTCTCTCTCTTGCCCTCTTTCGGTGGCTGCCGTAGATCCCTCCTTCGATCATCTTTTGCCCCTTTGATCTTCTTTCCCTTGCCCTCTTTCACTGGTGGTTTGTGGGCGAAGCTTTGGGATTTTATCGTTGCCTTCTCCGTCCTGCTTGGGCATTTTTTATTGCGGTTTTGGTGGGATTTTTTACTGTGATTTTGCTGGATCGGTGTTTGATTCATGCGGGTGTTGGCCCGGGCCTGTTGGGTTTTCCTCGGTTGCTTCTGTGTCCCTTCGATCTTCTTTCCCTTGCCCTCTTTGGCTAGCGGTTTGATTTCCTTTGCCTTTCTCCTCTAATTTTGGGGGAAGCCTTGGGATTTTATCATTGCTTTCTCTGTCCTGTTTGGGCATTTTTCTTTGCGGTTTTGGTGCAATTTTCTACTGTGATTTTGCTGGATCGGTCTTTGATTCATGAGGGTATTGGCGCGATCCTGTTGGGTTTTGCTCGGCTGCCTCTGTGCTTGCTTGATTTATAGTTTTGGGTTCGATTTTTGTCTGACTTTGGCTCATTGCATGTTCAGTCATTTTTTGTCCTTGTCCTTTTCCTTTGATTTTGGGGGAAATTTTGGGATTTTATCCCTTCTTCCTTCGACATTGTTCTGCCATTTTCATTTGTGGCTTGCTTTTGTGCCTCATTTGTTCTGATTTTTTTTTAATGCTCACTGAAGTTGGATTTAGGTTTTGGTGCAGGCCTCTTCGGTTCTCCTAGATTACTTCTAGGCTTGCTTCATTCGTGGTTTTGGTTTGGGTTTTTATTTATTCTTGAGTGACTAGATGCTTGGTCTATTTTTTCTTCTTTTTTTCCCCTGGTTTTAATGTTTACTTACATTATTCTCTTCATTATTTGCTTTTGTGCTCCATCTATTTGGATTTGTTTTGTGTTTTTCAAGATTGTTCTGCCATTTTTATTTATGGCTTGGTTTTGTGTCTCATTTGTTTTGATTTTTTTCAATGCTCATTAAAGTTTGATTTGGGTTTTGGCGCAGGTCTCTTTGGTTCTCCTGGACTGCTTCTAGGCTCACTTCATTAACGGTTTTGGTTTGGGTTTTTATCTGTTTTTGAGTGACTAGATGTTCGGCCCCTTCTTTCTTTCTTTCTTTCTTTTTTTTGCCTGCTTTTATTGTTTAGTTACATTATTCTCTTTGCTATTTATTTTTGTGCTTCATCTGTTTGGATTTGTTTTGTGTTTCTTAAGCCTGAAACCAATTTCTAATTGGCTGGCATGTACGGTACGTGAGAAATTTCTTTACAACTGTTTATTATTCTCCTTGATTGGTCTTTTTGTTCACAAAAGACTTCTTATATGCGTTGTTCTATATTGTTTCCGGTTAATCTTGATTTTGTTTGCCTGTATTTATTGAGGTGATGATCTGTGGACATTATGGTGCTGACTTGTCTTGCCACGTTGATGACTTATGCTCACTTTGCTGCAGAGGTATTTAATGAATCCTTGATTTTTTTTTATTTTCTGGAACGTGTAAAGAATTTAGCCAATGTGGGTAATTGTTATATTTATATTTTAAATATGTGTCTTACCTCTTTTCTGTACTTATGCTCACTCTACTGTAGAGGTATTTAATGAATCTTTGATTTTTTTTTATTTTCTGAAACGTGTAAAGAATTTAGCCAACAAATGTGGGTAATTGTTATATTTATATTTTAAATACGTGTCTTACTTCTTTTCTGTATTGCCATTAATGTATTGCTTTTTATTATTTAATCTGGAAACTTCTGGTTTTTACCTCACCGACTTTGCGCCCTTACGTGGGATTTTGTTATGGGCTGCTCATTAGTTCTCTCTATGTCTATTTAAGAATGTGTCTGCACATGAATTTATCATGCATTCTCCTATTTCTTTCCCTTCCATCCCCTGTTTTTGCTTTCTTATTTCACTTTCAATCATTTACTATCTTTTGGTCACGTTTGGTTGATTGATATTTTAGACTGAACACAGTATTTGTAACGTTCGAGGTACTCCTGAGACTTCTTATCCATAGCTTGCTCATTTACGCTGTTGATATTGAATGCACTGGTTTGTTGTGGGCCGATTAATGTCTGCGGTTTGTCTTTTATTACCTGTCCTTTTTTTTCCTCTGTATTTGCTTAGTGTATCATATCTACGTGTTCACTTGCTACTTTCTTATTTGTCTTGGTTTTCCTCTGTGACTTCCTTACTTATTTCTTACTTACATGTGTGTGCATGTCCCCATATATATATATTCCTATTTTTACTTATCCCAGCTTTAGTAAATTTTTTTGTGTGGCGATGATGATCGTAGTTTGTCTTCATGTGTTGACTTTTGCGTAAGTTGTCCAAAGATTGCTGTGAATGTGTCGTCTTTGTTTGGATCCTGGTTTTATCTGTTATTTTTCGTCTAGATTTTTTACTCCTTTGTGTGTTATCTCCTCTACTTATTCCAGGGCCTTTGCCTCTCCGTATTAACTATTTTATTGAAAACCTCTTTATAGGTGTCTTCACTTTTTTATTTCACGCTAAACTTTAGCTCCACCATCCTATTTTTACTGTTTCATAGGGAAAAAAAATTATTGGACAAAAAGACAAATATTGTGTTGTCTCATTTTTGTCCTCTCATAACATTCTTCATCATTTTCTTATTACTCTGTCTCTTTGTCCTTAGTCTTCTTCTTTTACCTGTTTTCTTTATTTATTTACAGTCCTTATTCCTCTGTTGGTGTTGTTCTTTTTTTCCCTCTCTTTCAATTCACCCGGTAGCCTTTTATTTTTGGTCTAGATTTTTAACTCCTTTCTGTATTGTTACCTTTACTTATTCCAGGGCATTTGCCTTTTCCATATTGACTGTTTTATTGAAAAACTCTTTATAGGTGTCTTCACATTTTTCTTTCAAGCTGAATTTCAGTTTTGCCATCATGTTTTTACTATTTCATACAAAAAAAAAAAACTAATGGGAAAAGAGACAAATATTCTGTTGTCTTATTTTTGTCCTCTCATAACGTTCTTCATTATCTTCTTATTACTGTGTTTCTTTCTCC